AAATTTATCACAACAATCTCAGTTCACCAACCCATCATAAAGATAAGTTGTTGTTGTTTTCTCCTTTATTGCAATTGTTTTTATAGTACATAAATACGGTTTCAACCATATTACCTTGGTCTATTATTCAAAATAGTTTAACTCAATTTTCTTAAAAACTTAGCCCATATCCACAAAAAAAAAAAAAAAACTCCTCGTCTTTGAACCAATTCCCAAAAATTCAAATCTAACACCATTGAAACTACACAAACACCCCCAAGACTTTTCAAAATTATATATTTGACCTCTAGAGTTTTTAAAATTACACTTTTGCCTCCAAAGTTTTAGAAATTACATTTTAGCCCCAAAATTTTTAAAATTATATTTTAGCCCCTAAAGTTTCAAAAATTATAATTTAACCCCAAATATTTTTGAAATTACAAATTGACCTTAGAGTTTTCAAAAAAAAAAATTTTCTTAAAATTCTCTTCCGATCAATATGATTTCCAACATTGAATTAAATACTAAAGTGGAGGCTTTATCCCAAGCACAAGTTATTTTACAGAAGGCTATGAATACTAGACGAGATACAATCATACAATTCCAGCATCCATTGATTCACTGAGAGAACTTGTACTCGCTATAGTTTGTGAAACCAAAACAAGTGAAGATTTTAACTTTGTCTCCTCAACTGCTAATCAAAAAATGGTTAAACACAACCCCCTCTAGTTAAACCACAAGTTCTACCACTACAAGTTCCAATTCGACTGAATTGCGTTAAACTGAAGTTATTCAATGTTGATGAGTCCAAAAGTTCTACTTTTATCCATCCCACAACAATTGTTTTTGGCAAGCCAATTGTATAGGGTGTTCCTACAAGATGGAAAACAAGTTTCAAGCGTAATTATTTTAGATGGAGTTGCTACTTTTTCGTCAACATCCTCACCGTCCTTTTATCTAGAACAAAGTGTGAAGGTTATGAAGATTCGAGAATAGATTCCTCCCATTGTGATATCCTATATTATGTCATTGAAGAGAGATCTTACTTCTATGCTATTAGGTTTGACGATGTGTTTCACAATTTGATGTCAATTCTCTTAGAGTATTCTTGCTGCAATAACTCTTTGGAGAAGAGGTTTTTTTAGCCAGGAAGAATTGATAGAGATCAAAAAGGGACTGAATTAGCTTAAATTTAAGAATTGAATTTTATTATTTATTTTAGTATTATTTTATTAGTTAGGAAATATTTGTATGACTAGGAGTAGAATTTGACTAAGAAATTGTTATAGAATTTTAGTAGGATAGGAATTTGAAAGTTTGGTTATGAAACTCTTTCAGTAGAATAGTTTTTATTTTAGTAGGGAATTTGACCAATAAATAATGGTGTAATCCCAATTATTTTTATTAGGGAAAGGGAGATATAATAAAAATTATTTCTCTGTAGAAAATTGTGTATTTCTTGACAATTTTTTTGTGAGAACGAGGTAAATCCTTCCACTTCCTTCTTTATTCTTCTCTTTCTATTTTCCCATGGTTTTTAGCTCTTCCCATCCTACATCAAGCTTCCCTTCAACGCCACTGCCAAAAGCACCCACGACTTCAAAGATTTTTAAGTAATCTTCTTCCTTTTTCATCTTGTATTTTCTTCATTTTCAGCTAATTTTCCATATTTGAGCCTGTCCCGACTTCGCCATCATCACCGACAACAAATTTACGGGCTTTTTTATTTATTTATGCAAAGTTGATAAAAAAATCAGGCACAAACTGAGTTGAGACTTGGGATGAGAGATTTGGGGTCAAGGGCATCGATGGTGGATTGGCTGCAGAGAGATGTGAGTTTATTGAACTAATTTATACCAATTCAGAATTTTTATTCAAATTTGAGTACATTGACTCACCATCGGGTGAAATTTGGTAATTTGGGTACAGAACTCTATACGTCAGTTCACCTCCAAACAATACCCTTCTTTCATCGATGGTAGTCATCAACTCCGATCACAAAACCCGAATCAATGGCAATTCCTAAGTAGCCATTTCTTTGGTAGGGGCCGGCGTGGATCGCATGTTCAGCGTCGTTGGAATCCTAGTCATCTCCCTCGCCAACCACTCCGTCCCCCTTCGAATCTAATTCATCGCCTTACACAATGAGCAATCAATCATATGGGTATGCCGGCCCGACATTCGGGTACCTCACTAGCCGGCAGGGAATCGTCCTCAGCATCTCTAGCACTACTGCGTCCATGGCCTCGCTGGTCTTTCCAACGCCACCGTTAACTCTTGGCCCATGGTCGTCATCTCTGACTCTTGCAATCAAAAAAACTCTGGCCACGACGATTTTCAAGAGCTCGATCAAATCACATCGGTTAAACCCTTCTCGAGATTTGCCACAGAAACCACTGATATCAAACTTATCTCTAATTGTATTTTCGAAGTTATTCACTAGGCCAAATTGGGCCGACTTGGTGGGTGTTACTTAGACTTACCCTCTGATGTGCTTCATCAAAACTGAATTGGAGGTCAATAAATTGAAAACTGATGCTCAGAAATGTAGAAAGAAATAGGAAGAAGTGACAGGAAGTGTCGGAATATTCAGAGATTGAAAAGGAAGTTTCGATGTTGAGACAAGACAATCGGAGAGGCCGTTGATTGTATTTGGTAAGGGCCTTGCCATTGCTAGAGCAGAGAATGAACTTTAAAAGTTAGTTGAAAGCACTGTAATTCCATTTCTGCGAACTTCAATAGGAAAGGGATTGTTGTCTGATACACATGAGCTAGTTGCAATGGGGGAAAGGTCAGTGGCGATTGGGAAATGTGATGTTGCATTAGTGCTTGGTGCAAGGCTGAATTGGTAATTGCATTTTGGGGAACCTCCAAAGTGGTCCAAGGACATGAATTTTTTATTAGTTGATATATGTAAGGAAGAGATTGACTTAAGGAAATCGAGTGTGGGATTTTGTTGGGGATGCGAAAAGGGTTTTGGAATGATTCATAAGGAGATTAATAATGACCTTTTTTGTTTGGGAAAGAATCATACTTGGGTTGAGGCGATAGTGAAGAGGCAAAGGAAAATGTGTCAAGAATGGAGGCACAATTGGCTAAGGATGTTCGACCATTCAATTTTATAACATCGATGAGAATAATTAGGGATGCGATTTTGGTGTCTGAGGGGGTGAACACAATCAACGTTGGTCGGGCTGTGTTGATTCACACAAAGCCGAGGAGTAGGTTGGATGTTGGGACTTGGGGGACAATGGGGATGGTCTGGGATATTGCATTACTGTGGCAGTGGCTTCATCTGGTCGGGTTGTGGTTTCTATTTAGGGGACTCTGGATTTGGTTTTAGTGCCATGGAAGTTGAGGTTTGTTCTCTTGCCTAATATTATTGTTCATTTAGTGCTAATTGATAACTGAACACTCGTGGACTTTGCCTTATCTGTTCAATTATGAATGAACATAATGCTGAAGTTGAAGTTGAAAAGTTTATCTTCTAGATGATTTCATATGGATTTAGCTGGAATATTGTGTATTTAGATGAACGGAGAAGCGTGTATTTTTTAATTATACTTGTTTTTTCTGTTCAACTGGTTTTGATTTTGTATAGGCACCTTCTAGCTAGTTTGGGAAATCACAATTATTTTCAAAGGCTTCAATTAAGAACAAACAATATGCAGAATCTAAACATCTTTCCTCTAAGGGATAGCAAATGATATTCTAGTACCTGAAACTCACCAATCCCCGACTTTGCCAGAGGTGGGAGCCTTGTACACAAGACTTTTTAATTCTTATTGCTTGCACAAAAGCATGTTGTGATAGACCACAACTTTGAAAACAGAGAATGCACATTTTATTGTTCAGGGTTTAAGTTGCTTGTATTGTTTTATTATTAATAATAGGTTCTGAGGGTAGAGCGCATATTTAGTTGTCATAACTTATAATTAGAATATGTTGCTCGCATAACATTCTTCTATGTTTTATAACTTGGGTAATCCATGTCTGAAGGTACGGTGTAACGTAAACCTAGATTCTTGAGAGGGAAGTATATGGCCGTTAGATGAGTTTATTTGAAACCGTCGGATAGGTTTATTAAAGCTTGACGTGTTTTATATTATAGATATCCTATTGATTGGTGCCTATTCATCTGAGGAATAGATATGGTTACTATTCTACAATAGACAAGTCTCATACAATTACTATCAATTATTCTTTTATCACGTAGCAGCTGTAATAGAATGTCGAATTATTTGAAGCCACTTAATTGGGTGAATTTCTTTTTGGCCCATGATTTGAGTTGTCCACAAGATCCTACATAGTTCACTCAACATTTCGAAGACTATGAAAAAATCACCTTCACTTTTATCTAAAATAGTCACATTTGTGAATCTTGTTTGTGGTATTTATGGTCACTGATCATGGCAAATTCTGTTCCTGTCCAAACTAGGTGGCAACAGGCATGGTTTGACTGCCAGACATAATCAATGATCACCATTGGCTTCCAATGCTTGTGATACAGTATGGGGAAGTATTTTTTGATCTTTGTTGCCCATGGAGTCCGGTCCCAATGGGGAATCAAACCTTGCATTACCACTTGGAACTTGCCGCTTCCAGCAAAGAACTTTCTGCAACCATCTAAACAACGCCTGATAATGATATCCATGGATGCAGAAATGTTATAGGTCTAGCCTTTCATTTTGTTCAACATCAATTGACTCTATTAGCCTTTTGGGTTCAATAGTATGGAATGTCTCTTTGCTCTATGCTTTCACTCAGTTCAATTTCCTCAATTATGGCTGCTATTTGATTAGTTATTTACTCAATTCTTTTTTGGGATACATTGTTTTCCTGCCCCCTAAAAAAATAGAAAATTTCTTACTAGCGTTGATAATTCAGTATTGCCCCAACTTGATTTCCTTGCCAGATGGGCTGCAGTCACTCGAAACACTGCGAATTGAAGAGTGTCCACATTTGGAGAGGCGATGCGAGAAAGAGAAAGGAGAGGACTGGCCAAAGATAGCTCATGTTTGTCGGATTTGGATTAATTTTTGGGAAATACAATCCTTGATCCCACATGACTAAAATGCATCTGACAGAGCAACCTTGATTCATATGGTTGTGGTACCCAGCACCTTGTCGAGCAGGCAGATTAAAACTTTAGAAGGTAAATTTCTCTCACTTCCTTCTTGATGTTTTTATTTCTCCCGGCAATTGCTCCTGCTCTTTAGAGTAACTGGATCATAATTCCTTTTATGCATATAGTTTTTGGATAAGTTTATACGGAAAAACAATTTTTTTTGGGGGTCAAGTTATAAATTTTTAAGGTATTTGAGATCGATGATCCCATTATATTATAGCGCTCCTGAACTCCCCCAAAGCATTGTAACTTGACCTAAAATATGATTGATCCTATTTCAGTAATATACCTCCTTCCTTTGATACCTAAGCCAAACCCATTGTTTGTTTGTCGCTGGATGCGTGAATAGTTGTTGGGAAGCCGGACAAACCAAAGAAGTTAATTTTTTCCCAATATTCTAGAATTCAATTGTTTTGATATTTTCTGTATCAATATTCTGGCTCAGGTTGCCAGATTCTGGTGAGAGAGGGTAAATTTTTGTACCTCCATGGGATTAGTTGGACTTGGAGAAACAGTGGCAGCTATGTAGTTACAATTAGGTACTCTTGATTGATGCATTTGAGGCTACTTGAGGGTAGATCTTCATCGCGAAATGCATTGATTGATTGATTGCTGCTTCAACATAAAATTGCTGAAAAGTTGTTTCAAAAATGCTGTTGTATTTGATACAGTTGTGAATCAATCAAACTTATTCTATAAGCATGTCCATGTCTATCTATTTGTATTAGTTTACGTTTGTGCAAGAAAGGAAAATAAGCACTTGCCGAAACTGTTGGTGCAAGACAAAGATATTAAGAATTTGAGCTATATTTATGCAAAGACAAGTGCTAATAGTATTGTAATCCCCAAAACATAGCAGTTGGCAGTTTTTGGTGTAAAATGTATTACATCAAATTGAGTTGGCATTTTTTTATCTCGTAAAAAAAAAACACAATTAACATAAAAGTATTGTGATCCAAAAAACTTAAAAGCATTCCTGCATAAAGAATTCCTCTTATAAAAAGCCTACGAGATTATTCACTCTATTTTTCACAAAAAAATAACTCTAAATTACAAAACTCGGTGTTAGTGTCTTGCCCAAACGTAAGTTCTCTTTCTCTCTCTCTCTTTCTCCTCTCTCTTACACACTTTTTTTCTATTCTTTTCATTTTTAGGAAACTCGGCGGATTTACATCGGGGCAATGGGGACAACCTCCTTAGTGTAATTTAAAAATTTTTTTGGATAGTTTAGAAATTTTTGTAAATTTATAATTTTTAAAAATTTGTCCCCACTTAAAATTTCTATTAACTAGTTGCTGCACATTTACGTTGCACATGTATCATTTTGAGTAAAATATATTTTGTTAAAACCAGGGACCATTTTTCACGAAATCTACTTATTTAGTAAACGTTGATAATTTATAAATGAAGGACCACATCTATAATGAAAAATACCAATGTAACATTGAATAGAATAGTTGGAGAAAATGCATTCTTTATTTCTTGTCATTTCCTAGTCCTCAACATGTTTCAAACATAGACCTCTAGTGATAACAATAACGTGCATTTTCGAGATCTGGGCATTCCAATGTTGGTTTCATATATTGAGAGTTACCAAGTATATCTACAAACAAAAAATAATAATTGACAAAAAAAGCCTCTTAGTAGACAATGAATGACCACGTAAATCTGATATGTAGTTATCATCGACACTATTAGTTCTGGAGTAAACAAGAAATCCAACAATAGCTATTGGTTAGACATAATGAAAAAAACAAGTAATGTTCATATCTTCTAATTATTAGTAATTTGGAAAAAAGATCCATGAGGAAGAGGAAAAGAAAAAGAAATATAAAATATATAAACAAAGTTCAGTTAATTTTCATTTATCCAAATCGAAAGCCTAGATGGGAAAAAAATTTATGGAAGCCTATATGCACATGAGGACTATACAAAGACAATAACACCCAATTACTAATTGGCATGAGAAAAAATTAATTAAATTACATGAGAATAGAGAATGACATGAGAAAGCAAAACAAAAACTTTGCAACGTCCGCTACACGCAAAGGCTGAGTCTGACCAAAGTTAAAGAACCACCCTCATGTCGACTAAAATTAATCTGCTAAGCTATGTGAAAGAAGTAATGTTAAACAATAGTCCTAAAAAAGTAATATGCAAAGCAATAGACAATTTATAGGAGTGACTATATCTAATATGGCAGAATAGTAGTGAAAAGGAGGCTCACAAGAAAGATTTTAGCACTTACATGATTCCAATAGTTCTTCAATCCAACAAGCATTTGTAAAATCAAATATTAAAGTACAAAAAAAACTGATTTTGTTTATAGAGTTTTTTTGTGTGTGATCAACATGGAAAAGAGAGCATGAAAAAAGGAAGAGGCGTTGGAATTGCTGCCATTACATTTGCAACTATTATAATTACAGTACCAACTTGCAAAAGTAACTTGGTGACTATAGAGGTGCCCTAAGATAGAGAAGGGGTTGCGGAAGCTAAGAGGTTACATATAGATACTTTAATGGATAGTGAGACATTAAAAGTCACTCAAATAAATAAATGTATTTTATAATGAATACTTATTCAAGTGTCTGGTAGTTTGGATATTTAAGAGTTGCTAGAGAGTAAAAGAGGGAAATAAATGTTTTTCCCATATGTGTGCATTTAGAAGTAACTAGTTGGTGTACATGTGTCTTGCACGTGGATTATTTTAGATAAAAGAAATATATTTATCGAATCTAAACACACATTGACGATTAAAAGATGGATAAATTTTGTGATCTTTGTACCCCATATTAGCTTCAAATCAGCTCCTGTGATTCTATTCGCATCTAAAGAGTTAGTGTCCTACAATTTTATTCATTATTTTCTTCTCCAATTTTGCCTTTAGTGTGACTTTGAGCATTTTCTTCTCCCATTCCCTAATTCACTATTGCCATAAAATGCTCCAATCAATAGATGCCTAAAATCAAAAGAACAAAAAAAAAATAAATAAATTTAGTCCTACTATGAAAGAAAACCTAAAATCAAAATAGCAAAAATCCACAAGTACAACAACACAAATGTAGCCAATTCTTGTTCTTAATATGAATTGACAAATGATAATCTCCAAAAATCACATCAATATAGTAAGAACCGGTTATCATAACAAAATAACCTTAAATATATGCTTGATCATATGACCAAACCATAAACAACCATCAATATAATAAACTCGTAAAGCAAAAAATGGAACATGTTACCCACATGCACACCTACATGTGCTTATATGATACTAACCCGTATACAACCAAAAAAAATCATATAAAATCAAAATAACAAAAGCAGAGAAACTAAAATCAAGAAAAGACAAATTTACCAATACAATGAAGGTCTAAATCCCATCTACATGTACATATGTGATACATATGAATTAAACCATTAAAAACCACACAAAAAATTCCACAATACAATAAACACTAGAAACCAATAGCAACCGCCACAAATCACATCATTAAAACAAAAACCAAGAACTAAAAATGCACAAAACCAACTTTAGTGCAAGAAGTAGCAGACCTAAGTCTCACCGGCTGATCATCTATGATGTGCTTGTCCAGAAGGAGGCGATCAAGTGAGAGAGTATCGATTTGGAGCAAAAAAAAATGTTTCATTTCTTAGTTGATGATGTATTCATTGCATATTGAATATTTATTGCGTACATGAAAATAACACAAACTGAAAGTGTGACACCCCAAAATCCGGGGGTCCGTTGATTACCCATCAACCCGCGGAATACCCGTAAATACCGAGTGACTCGATATGCACCGTTATGTCCCATTTACCGAGGTCCATAACTTAACAAAATTTGGGCAGAGTCTCCTTTGTACAGGGAACTCTACCCAATACCCAACCTGTGCAACATAACTCACATGACCCATCTGAGGCCCAATATAAACAATGACCGCACCGGGTCCATTTATAAGTAAACATTGACCACACCGGGTCCAATTATCCATATTTATAGCAAAACATGCAAGGTTACTTTAACATTAGTGCATATATGAAATAGTTATCATTTAAATCCACCAAGGTCTAATAAGCCTCAATATACCTCAATTAGTGTCCATTTGTATCCTTGGAACTAGAGAAATCCAAGTCCATTGGTGTTCTTTAAATCAAAGAAATCCAAGCCTGGAAGCTTAGTGCATAGTTTGAAAAATTTCGGTTTTAGAGTCACCGTTCGAACAGCACTATTCACATTCGAACGTCCCTTGGTTTTGAAAAATAGGTAGCTCCCAGTACATTTGGTTCTCTGCTGGTTTTGCTGTTCAAAACTCACACCATTCGAACGTCACTTTACGTTCGAACAGAAAATGCAGTTTCTGTTCTGCTGCAACTTCCAGTGCGGTTTTGACCTGTTTAGAAGTGGAATTGAGAAACTTTCATAAAAACACTTTTGTAGCCCTAGGTGTCTACTACCTACTGTAAACATTTCAGATCATTTGGACGTCACAATAAAAAATTATGGCTCAAACACTAAGCAGTGTCTGAAATTTCTGTGTAAACTGTGTATGATTTCAACCCCAAATCAATCCCTTCCAAAACCAATCCAAACCAATCCAAGGTTATCCAAAACTTATACAACATCTATTTGATACCAAATATAGTCAATACAAGTTCTAATACAACTATTTCCATACTTTTACATGCCAAAATGGAAATTAACCAAAAGTTTTACAAAAACTAAATTCAAAAGCCACAACCCGGCTTTTCTTCAACCAAGAGCCCCCGAATGAGAGCCATCCACCGGAACATGTCCCGTACCTGAAATTGTTTCCCGTATAGGGTGAGCACAACGCCCAATAGAGATAAACCTATAGAGGTTACTCTTCCCCTAGATGCACATGCTCATGTAATCATCACACAAACACACAACCAAGCATTTCTCACACTTATGCATCCTATGATG